AGTTGGATTGCCTTGTCATAACAAACTATTGCATCATTATATTTTTTAAGATTATTTAATGATATACCTATTACAATAAATTAATTAATAACCCTTATTGTTATAAGTAAATGCAAAATTAGGATCCAGTTGAATTGCGTTGTCATAACAAACTATTGCATCATTATATTTTTTAAGATTATCTAATGATATACCTATTACAATAAATTAATTAATAACCCTTATTATAATAAGTCAATGCATCATTAGGATCTAGCTGGATTGCCTTGTCATAATAAACTATTGCGTCATTATATTTCCCGAGATTATCTAATGATAAACCTATTCCAATCATAAACTAATAATATACCCTTTCTGTTATATCCAACAATATATTTAGAATCATAATTTAAAGCAATATCAATGCATTAAATCGCTTATTAATTTTCCTTCAAATTTGATAAAGCAAAACCTATTTATAAAAATAAATGTTTACTTTTTCTATATAATGCATGGAGATGGTTAGGTTCTTCTATTAAAACCTATTCGCATTACTCAATGGCTATTTGATATTTCTTTTCATCATCTAAAGCATAGCCTGTAAAAATAATTGAATGTATTAACTTTTTGCAATTAAAATAAATTAATTTTTTGGATTTTTCTTAAGTTCCAAATCTGAATACTCCAATAAATCTCTATATAAGTTATTATTAATCTTCTTGGCTTATTCTCTCATTCTAATTCCTTTTCCAAATTGATTCATTTCGATTAAAGAGATACCTTAATTAATTATATACATGATTTGAGATTACCTTAAAACAATGCTGCAAATGATAATTGTTTCTCTAATAATTTTAAATATTTAGTTATTTTTTCATTAGCTTCCTACCATTTTTGTTAATTTAATAATTATATTCCTAATTTAATTTTGAATAAATTAAATACCTTATTCAAGTGTTATTTGATTATCTTGATATATACTTTTAATTTATTATTATTATTTGTTGTCTAAATCCAAAGTTTCGATCATTCTTTTTATACTAAGTAATTAAGTTCCTATAAATATAACTTATGATAAAATACCAATTTAATTCTACTTCATGATCTCTTCTTGATTATTCGAATATTAATACCATTCCTTTAATATTTACAAATTATCTTTGATTTATTTATAATCTTATTTATTTAAATCTTCAGATATCTTAAGTAATTATATTTTCATATTATCCAAATATTTTGTGAATTCTTCATATTTTGTTTTGATTAATGAATAGGATTTATTTAATTAAATAGTCAAATCAATTATATACTAATTGAATTTAGTGATAAAACTCTAAATTTAACCAAATCCTTTTAGATCTTTCTTACAATTAGTATGTTTTTTTGGATCAAATCCACATTAAAGACAAAACTAAGATCTTAAATCTTAGCATCCAAAATTTAAACAAAATCCTTATATAACTTCTCCTTCATGTGCAATATCTTAACACGTAAACAAATTATATTATTACATTAAAAAATTTTATTTTATAATTGTAATTTATATTTGATTAAATACATTTTTATTTCATTGAATTAATCAGAATTATCTTATTACATATTTAATAAGAACTAATTATGTTAAATAGGCTTATAATTCATTAATATACATCCTTCAATAATTAAATTTTATTATTATA